GTCTAATTGCACCACCCCCCCCTTTTGATGTGGTGTTTTTTTTTTTTTTAAATGGAAATAGCTCTGCCCAAGGAGCTGTAGGCAATTGAGGCAGCTTTCTGCAGCCAACCTCTCACTCAAATGAGCCTTTCAAAGAATAATGTAGTTAGCAGCGAACCTGAGCCTCGTGCGTGCATGCAAGAGCAGGCTCTGCGCCCCAGGGCTGCAGCAAGCCGGGAAGAGGCCGGGCAGCACAACAGGTAGATACGAAACAGGCCGGCAGCTCATTTGGCAGGAACCACAAGAGGCCACAGGGATGGGGCTGGGGTCTCCCAGCAATGAGGGGTGCATCTGCTGCCAAAAAGTCCCCCCGATTGTCCTCTTGTAATTAATTTCAATCCATGGCATTTTTCATGCACGGGACCTCAGGACAAGATGCAATATGGCAACAGCCACTCAGTGCTCTGAGCACAGGGCACGTGCAGGATTCGGTCTTGTTCCTGGCACAGGCAACAGCATCGCTAGCAGGCGAGTTAGCTCTAGGCTTAGGACAGCCCTGCTCCTGGGGTACCTGTCATTGGAACAGTTAACACGAAGGATGCCCCATCTCTGACCTCCACTGTGGCTCCTGCTGGAAGCAGCAGCCAGGGATAATGAGGCCAAAGGAGAAGTTTGTGCAAAAAGCATCAATACACAGATATCTTCAAGCACCAGCCCAGTGCTCCAAACCTGTGGCACTTTGCAAGGATGAAAACCCTCAGGAAAGGAAACGGGTGGGAATGCAGTTGGCAAATAAGGGTCTGCGCTGACGGAGGCGGCGGGAGGCAGCAGGTACCTGCGTGAAAACCAAGGGAGCGGGATCCACATGGCACTGCATGGCAATGGAAGCACGTGGCGAGCGTGCTGTGACACTGCTGCGAGCGGCTCTGAGCTACAGAAAACTAAATCCTCACTGTATACCTAATGTATTACCTGCTTTTTTTCCCCTCCCTGTGATGTGACCTATAAGGCCACAACCAGAGAGATTGGTGACCTGCAGCCCCGTGGCCGGACTGGGCGGCACTGCGGGACATCCTGCTGTCCCCAGGCGGAGGACGGGCATCCTCACGGACACGTCACAGAGCCAAAACCCCTGGCAGGGCCAAACCCTGCGTCTCCCTGCCCCAGGACTCACACCTGCAGTGGGCACGAACAGCCAGAGCCTCGTGCCAAACCCTGCACCTTCCCTTTGGGCCTGGAGGGGCCACAACCTGCCTGTTTTCCACGCTGCTGCGTTTGGTCCAGACCCCCTAATACAGAGAGGGGGGGAAAAAAAAAAAAGCATTAAGAAAAAATATTTATGCAGCCAAATATCCATGTTAAATCAACAGTCATCTATCACTTCAATTCTGCAAGCTTTCAAAAATAATTTTACAATGTAAGCTAAAGGTAAGGAACCCCAAAGGAAATCAGCTGTCGCCTGCATAAGAACACCCAGACCCATTTCCTCTTTTTGCTTTCGACAGCAGAGAGAACATTGACGTTGTGCTGCCTTGGGGTTGCAAATTGTACAAGGTTTATTTGGGCTGAATCTCTCCAGTTGTCTCCGTTTGTGGTGGAAAGCACAGGCCCATCGACTCCCATTGCCCTTCCCTGCACTTGGGATTAAACATCTCCGAGAGGTGGAAGTACTGGGAACATTTCCAATCAGGGAAAAAAAAAGTAGAGGACAGGAAAGTGTAATGTGTGTAGATAGCGCCATTGAGATTTTTATGAGCCCAGTGGGAATGAGCCTCCTTGATAAAACATCTTAAGGTTGTATTTTAGGGGTGTAGCAGTACAGTAAATAACAAATAATAAAACAAATACCTATAAAAATAAATTAAATAATAAACACCCTAATACTGAGAAGGTGTGCAGAACCCCAAAGGGCTGTAGAAGGGCCACCAAAGCCACAAGAAAACACAGTGGGACCCAAAGGACAGACAAGGACAGCAGCATTGCTACTGGGGCCAATCGCTACAGACACAGGAGAGAAGTTTCCTACAATTAAAGAAGGGGCTTAATGACATTTAAATAACCTGCCATTATCTGTAATAAGACACAGGTGAACTGAACTTTTGCCTACAGAAAGCCCCATGGCCAAGGTAAGCACCAAGAGAGGCTGGAAGGAAGAGGCAGCAAGAGAACAGAGCCCTGGGTTTCCTGGGGAATTTTGCGGTGTTTTAGGTTGATATGAGAACGATATCTAAAGCCAGTTGTATTTGCAGGACAACAGCAAACACAACCGTTCGCGAGCACTGTTACAACCCCATCACGGCCTGGCCCCCCTGCCCATTTGCAAGAAGTTGCTCTGGGCTTAGGTTTGACATAAAAGTCTTTGCTGAGCAACCGCAGCATTTAAAAAATAAAATGTGCAAAACCCTGCGGTCATTCTCAGTGACCGCTGGTTTGCTCTGTTTGGGATTTTCCCTCCATGCTCCTCTAACTCAAGAACATCTCCAGAGCAAATAAAAGAATCACTGGAGTATTAAATAATCAAGAAGAGTTACGTTTAAATAAGCGCCTAACTATACATGACACTAATGAATTTAAACAGCTCTATCAAGTACAAAAGTGCTGAATGGCTTTGTGAGGCTCAAGGATTTTTTTTTTACTTTAGAGGACATGAGTTTATGCTCTGCTTTGGCAAAGCATGTGCAAATGATGGCTCCACTGCCACCTATAGCCAAACCCGTAATCCAGTCCATTGCCATGAGTCCCCCCAAAAAGCAGGAATTACTTAGGAGCACGACTGCCACAGTGACCTACATAAGCTGTTCCTTTGTCAACACGAAGGAAGAACGACAAGAACAAGGTGCTAACAGCAAAATCGCAGCACATTTAATCACCACTGGCTTTAAACAAACACTGACTTTCCCACCTTCCATCGCTCCACTCTGCCTGCACAGAGCGATCCGATCACCAAAGGAAAAATCCCCTCCACAACCAGCATTACACTGCAATGTACCGCTTGTCCTTGGTATTTGGAGAAGGTATTTTCCCCAAGAAGAAAGGCTCCGTTTCTTGGGAGAATCACAGAGTCACACTATGTATTTTAAAAGTCAGGTCACTAAGAGTTGAGCGAGCTCATGGGATTAAGGGCTTCCTCAAATGGGGAAGAACTGCCACAACTGGGGAAACCGGGCACCTCTTCAAGTACCTCAGAAACAGGATGCCACACAGAACTTGCACCTATTACTTTGCAGACACATTTTTACTGATGCTAAAGGAGGAAGAAATAGTTGTGTCCTCTCCGCTGCTATAAACACTCATGGCAAACATAGCAAGTCCCCCACACCTCACACCAGAGCTGGCCAACATTGTCTCTTCCTGCTCCATGTCACCCCCAGGGCACTGGAGAGGCATGGGAACCCCTGTGAGCAGGACAATCCTTAAGGATCTGCGCCCAGGGACCACCACAGCCACAAAGTTACAGAAACAGTCAAAAATACAGGTGGGGAGGTGGAAACGGGAGAACTCGGGGTTTGAGGGGACCCCCAGGGAACTACTCACGGCGGCCGAGAGCTTCGCTCCGTCCTTCAGCACGTGCGCCACGGCGTCGCGCACCAAGGAGAAGAGGCCGAGCAGGACGCGCTCCATGTCGTGGGCGCCAGAGCCGGAGCAGCGCGCGCCCGCACTCCTTGCTGAACTTGAGGTGCTCCGTGGTGTTGATCACCTCGATGCCCAGGTTGAGCGCCTGCAGGAAGGCCCGCGTGGCCTGCAGAGACTTGGACACCTGCGTCATCATCGTCTTGGGGTAGTTACCGAAGACCTTGAGGTCTCTCCTAGTTGCCCGCAGGCATTCAGTTGCGTCTGTGGAGGGATCAGAGAGGCCGGGATTGATCAAGTGAGAGTAGACCAAGGGGAATAAGCTGTCGAAAAACTCATTTATCATGTCGTTAACGCTAATGTCCGAGCCCAAGATGTACAGCGAGATATCAGTAAAAAGCTCTCCAACAAACTTGAGAGCTCTGGGTCCCATGCTCTGGTAGTGGTTCCTAAACATGGTATTGGTGAAGTTTCTTGCGTGCCGTACCACAATTTCAAAGGCTTCTGCAAAACAGAACAACAACAGCACAGTATTAACGATCAAAAAGCTCAGAAACAGGGAAGATAACATCATACTGCACTACAGCTGCAAAGGCTGGTCCCATCCTGCCCATGCCGGGTACACAGAGCACGAGAGCGAGGGCTTCAGAGGAGTGCATATAGCCTTTAAACATGAGCTACTTTCCAAAATGGCAAAAGCTATGATCTAGTTAACATTTCAGCTCTTAAAGAAAATATTGATTCAAGAAAAGGGCTAGACTGCAATTTCTTTCCTTCCTCCTCTCATATTGATTCAAAATTAACAGGAATACTATTTGAGACTTCATTTAAGACGGAGACAAATGTTTGACACCAAACTGCGCAGTGTTTAAAGTCAGGAAACTGTAAATGCTGACACTCCATTACAGGAAGGAAAATATTTGTAGGAGCTTAATCACAGAGGGCTTTTGGACTCAGCCCTCAGCACCTACTCTTAACTACATGTCAAATGTAGTACCCACACCTACAACTGCAGCCTCCCTCCGCCGCCCCAGCGCACTGGTTAAAACATGAGCAGAAAAGGCTGTCGGTGCAAACGGGTACTGGGGTTTTCCATTGCAGCCAAACATCTCCAGCGGGGCTACCTCCCGTCCTCCCGGGTCCTATTCGTAAAGTGTTAAAAATAATTAACAACCTCTCAGCTCACAGGTCACCGACCCCCTGCAGTGCAACTGCTCTCAGCAGCACCGCTCTGGAAGTACAAATCCAGGTGCAATTTGCATGAAAATTATTCATGCTCAATAATTAAAGGGAATGTTTAATTTTTAAAGCCGTGTTATTTTTTCCATTTGTTCAGTCTGGCATGCAGCCTGCTGCCGCCCCGCGGGGCTCCGGACCCACGTTCCCACCGGTGCCGTCAGGCCTCGCTGCTCGCCCTGCACAGCCTCCGGCATCAGCCAAGAGCTCCCGGAGATCACGGGGGGTCCAGGACCCCGAACCACATCTCCCTGGTGCCCATCACCAATGGATCCCATGGATCTACTACAAAAGCAGAGCAAATGCTGATTGCACCAGTGCAAAAAGTTTTAAAACAAAAGTTTCTTTAAATAGGGCACAGGGATTATCAAGCTTCTCCTCTATCCTCAGGAGCACTAGAATAGCTCTCACCTCCACAAAGAGCACAAAGCCCTTTTTGGGCAATTGTCTTTGACAGCAATTGCAGACGGTGCCGGGGTTTTCATGCTGAGCCTCACCGTTCGCCTTTAACCTCTTCTCTGTTAGTTCCCTTAGAAAAAGTCATCCCTCTTCCCTTTCCTCGCTCCTTTGTGCTTTGCAAGTTGCCATCGGAGCCCAGAGACTCGTCACTGATTAGGAAATATTCCAGGCTCCTATGCAAACCTCCTACAGCGAGAAGCACTTCAGAAAGGGATGGAGGAGGGTGGCGTATCAGAAGAGCATGCACACACAGTCCCACTGCTTTAAAGGTCATGACACACACATAATTTTTATCATAATAACTGGCAAAGACTGCCAGTTTTATGCACCTTGGAGCCTTTGCGTATCTCTATTAAGAGAGTGCAACACAGACCTTAAAAGCACTCAGAACCTCCTGCTGCCATATTCCTAGATGTGAAAAACAATAATAAAACTTGTTTTTTAAAAAAGAAAATGTCTCCCAGATCCAAAATATCTCAGGCTCAGCTCCCCTAGTACTTGCTCACGCTGAAATATTCCCCCCCTGGGGCCAGCAGCCAGAACATTAACTAAGACTGCAGCAACCAGTGGCAGCAAGTACCCACTGCCGGCCCGCAAGGACTTCGAGGAGGAGGAAACCCCTGTGGGTCCGTCCCCTGGGCACACAGGGCAGCAGGATTTGCAGGGACACAGTGGCTTCTCCTCCCACCAAAATAATCCAGCAGCACCCCACCAGCCCCAACCTGCCATTAGTAAAAATGCCATCCCCCAGAACAGTTACAGAAGCTCCCTCAGCTCTAGGTTTTCTTCATTTCAAATATATTTGCAAAACAGGCTATTTAAGGAGATGCACGAGCCTAGGTGAAGCAGAGCCTTGTGTAGTATCATAACGGCACCGAGAGCATCAGTGTGGGACTTGCACCTGGCTTGGAGCAGGAACATCGCTGCATAGTGCACAAACACCCAATGGGAAGCAAATACAAATAAACTGCATGCTTATTTATCTGCTTTGAAAATATTTCCCGAGGCAATTAGTGGGGGAAAAAAGGACACTGGAAAACTTTACTTTGCACCACTACTTAGAGAGCTGCTCTTGCAGCCACCAGCAGCAGAAAGGCAGAGGCACCTGGGGAGCTCCAAGCACCTCTTGCCGAAATATTTCCCGAGGCAATTAGTGGGGGGAAAAAAAGACACTGGAAAACTTTATTTTGCACCACCACTTAGAAAGCTGCTCTGCAGCTACCAGCAGCAGAAAGGCAGAGGCGCCTGGGGAGCTCCAAGCACCTCTTGCCAGTGCAAATCACCCCGCAAAGGCGTTTC